GCGGGGGTGGGAACGGCTGGTGTCCTTTCCCTTCCTGAGCAGCGAGTTCTTGCTCGTGGGCGTTTGGCAAAACAAAAGCCACACGAGACCATCACCCATTGCTAGTGCCTTGGGCGGCCGTACAGGGTTTTTTTTTAAATCCTCACTGGGGGGTATTCTTATTGACTTTAGAGGGAGGGAGGGACAGAGAAATTGAGAAAAAAACATCGATGGGAGAGAACACCGATTGGTTGCCTCCCCAAGGCACCTACCACCGGGGGATGGACCCTACAACCTCTAGGTGCGTGCCCTGACCCTGAACCAACGCTCCCTACCTTTTGGTATGCGGGAAGATGTACCAATCCGGCCAGGGCAGGATTTTTATGTAAAGATTTAAAATGGCTTGGGAGTAAATTAAAAAAACAGCAAACTTGAGACCGAGCTCCAACTTATGGATGAGTTGGGCATGCAGCTCATGATTGAGGGCGAGCAAGTTATTACCTGGGAACCCAGTATCTTGTAGCGTACGTTGGAAGACTGCCGTGAGGATGAAATGAGGCTTGTGTTCTGCAGTGCTTGGCCTGCATAGCTATCCTGTTCCCTACATAGTTGTTAAAAAGATGGCCAAAAGCCACGTTGGGGTTTTAAGCAAAGGGGTGTTTCAAATTAGATGTTTTAAAAAATATCACTGGTGGCTGCATGGAGAATGCACTGCTGAGGGGTCAAAGTAGAACTAGGGGCACAAGTTAGCACACTAGATATGGATCCATCAGAGATGCTAAAGGTCAACTGAATGGTAACTAGACCTACTGCGGTGATTATTTTGCAGTGCATACCAATACTAAATCATTATGCTGTATGCCTGAAGCTAAATTATTTTTTAAAAAGGTAAATTGATAGCACTTGTCAACCAGATAGAGAAGGAAAGGATGGCTCCCATGTTGTTGGCTTGTGTATCTGGATGGGTAGAGCTTTGGTTCTCATTCACTAAGAGGGAGGTGCAAATATAAGGGGGGGGAGGTGTTTCGTTTTTGGAAATAGTGTTTTGATTCCTTTTTTAAAACAAAAAGAGGTAAGGTTTCGTTTTTGGAAATAGTGTTTTGATTGATTCCTTTTTTAAAACAAAAAGAGGTAGATTAACATTTTTAAAAATACATGTAGTAAAATTACTAGAAAGTAAAGTTCAAAGGAATACAGATGAAATGGGATGGATGACATGAGACAGCAGTAAGGTATTCATTGTTACTATATAGTTTATTCAAACCAAACTATGATAATACGGAGAAGAGACTGAGGTGGCAGCTGCCCAGAATCTTGTGGATTACAGATGCAAACTGGCTGGAGAGGAGTCCTTGGACCCACACTTCAGTAACAGACAGACAAGTCAGTTGCATAAATATAGAGAACATAAGACACAGACATTTCACAGCTTTTTGCTTTGCGTTTCCATTTTAAACATATGTATGTTACAACTTTACATTTTAACTTACTCCTCCACATATTCTGTAACAATGGCTAAGGATGCAATGGTCTCAACACGACATAAGCAGACTTTGGTCTGCAATATGGAACGTTTCAGTGAGATACCACACAAACCCTTAACACAGAACACACAAAAAGACTCTAAAAAGATCAGATTAATACAATGTTTTTTTATGTTATATAAGCAGGAAAAGAGGGACGTGGAAACACAAGACATTAGGAGTGCCTTAAATGTATAGTATCTTGAGGTCTTCAAAGTTTCATTCCCTTCCTTCCAGGGGAAAAATTTTTTTTTAACTAATGGAAAAAAGAAAGCATCAGAAAGCCCTACAATGAGGAAAAACACTATCTTGACAGTGCTTAGATGCTTTTATGTAATAATTACAGCAGGTAGCAGAGCAAATGTCACAAATATTGGCTTTGTTTTTATTTCTATGCTTAAAAAAAATATTAAGCTTCTTTGTATGGACTGAACAATGTTAGCCTGTGGGCGTTGGTCTTCCGTGCCTGTAACCAGTGGGTTCACAGCCCAGGCCCATCCTAGAGCAAGCTCCAGTGCCAGCTGTCCGCACACTACTTCCCAAGGGAGGAGTTGTCTTCAGTTCACTGCAACAGGACTCCTGGCTCAGTTACATGCTCATGTGTTCCGGAAGAACATATGAAATATCATCCCACGGGTGACGATATAGCCCCTGCTTCAGCCTCTTCTGATCAAGGTAGTGCCCTAAAATGGAGCAAATGCATTTTTTTTTTTGAGTTGGTGAATTTGTTAACAGTTTGGTGAAGGAGAAAGGATAAGGAAGGGAAATGCAGCTAATACAAAAAGGCAGATACAAAGAAATGGGGAAGTAAATCGAGACCCATTCCATAGGTGATGTCAGGCTTGGTTTGCAATCAAAGTAACTTCCAAGACAAGGGAACAAAGGTAAAGATAAGGGGGAAATGAAGGTAAGAAAGGACGGATTAGAAACAAGATTAAGTCAATGTGACATCTCTTTTTAGAGACTCACCATATGGGTTAAGCAGTGTAACTGGACCACAGGGGAAATAAACAATCCCACCTAAAACCCTCTTCAAACAGTAACAACTCACTCACCAATGAAGCCCATGCTCCTTCCCAGGACAAAGATGCCATTGAGGGCTCCAATGTCAATATATTCATCAGCTTCTTCCCTGCAACACAATCAACATGTGGTATTTTTGTTTTGTCTTTAATCCTCACATGAGGGTATGTTTCCACCCATTGTAGAGAGAGAGGAAGGGAGAGAGGGAAACAGAAACACTGATGTGAGACAGAAGCATCAACTGGTTCTTGCTGTATTCACTGCGACCAGGGATCGAACCCGCAACCTTTCAGTGTACAGGACAACACTCTAACACACTGGGCAACATCGGCCAGAGCTCAACATGTAGTTTTAAAATGGCTCACATGACGGCCCTCCTCCCAGACAGTACAACCTCTGCTCAGGAGTGAGAAGCTAGTTCTCTTTGATTTCAAAGTGGAAAAGAGGGATGCTCTGGGTGGTGGGAGTAGAGGCAATTTTTGTTCTTTTTTATACCACTACTACGTATTTTCTAAGTTCTCTATAGTGAACATGCATTATTTTCAGAGTTGGGAGGGAACAACAAAAACCAATAAACACTATGAAGAAGGAAAGGGCTGCGAAGCTCACCGAGTGAAGGACCCACAGTTTCTAAGCATGTCTACAAATGCAACTCCGATGAAGCCATCTACATTCAGGATAAGATTTGGTTTCTGGGAAGGCAAAATATTCAAAGCATTTGTCATTATTTCTCATATTTCCCTTGTAATTTTCCACTATTACTACTATTACACTACGTATTCTGATCACCATTTAAAAAAACTCCTCCCAGATCAACCGAAGGACTTGTATACATGTATATAAGCCAAACCAATGGACATGGACAACAGGGGGATGGGAGCATGAGTGTGTGTGTGTGGGGGGGAGGTTGGGGGTTAATGGGGGCGCTGAGGACACATTTGTAATACCTTAATAATAATAAAAAAAGGAAAGGAAAAAAAAAAAAAAGCACACTGAAAAAAAAAAAACTCCTCCCAAAGCATCCCAGTTGGTTAGAAGAGACTGTCTTACCGAGTTCAATCCCCATTGTCTAGCAAAGGATCTGACACCTAGTTGACATTTAGTATATGTCTGCTGGACTTACTAGTAGTTATGCAACAGAAATAAAATTTTCCAGAAAACCAGGTTTAATTTTAGTTACACAATCAAAAGATAACTTGGCTGTCTCATTTCTGCCAAGAAATTCACCCAAGAATTCTGCCAAGTAATTCAAGAATTAGGGGCATTTGCTTTTTTACCTTTGAGGTGGTAATCTTTTCCACTTCCAGCGCATAGTCAAGCAGGGGGGTGGCAGGGAAGTGCTGTTTGACGTAATCTTTCAGGATCTGCACTCGCATGTCTGGGTTGTTTATCTAGAAAGTGATGTAAAGTTACAGAGGAACTCACTCTAACACTTGTGCTAAGGAGTATGTTTGTGCTCATGTCACAAGTAGGCACACTGCATTTCATACCCAGGTGTGCAGGAGGCAACCGATCAATGATTCTCTCATCATTGTTTTGATCCCTCTCACCCTCTTGCTTCCTCTCTGAAATCAATAAAAAATATACTTTAAGAATAAATAAATAAATAAAATATTTATTCCCTGGCCTCTACCCATCAGGCTTGCCCTGATATTCTTGCTTTTCCTGTCCCAGTGAGTCAGACTTAACCATGTGACTTTCACTGGCCAAGGAAATTCTAGAGAAAGTGAGCTGTACCAACAGAAGCTTTAAGAACCCCTGCCATGACTTTTCCCAGAGAGGGGCTGCTGCTTCAGTGTAATGACAGAGAACAGAGCAGCAGGCAACCCGCAGTGAGGGTGGGGTGAATCCCACAGAGGGTGTAGAGTGAATAAGAAACCCTTTCTGTTGCAAGCCACTGCGATTCTGGGAGTTGTGTTACTGCAGCATGCAGCTAGCCTCAGGTGCTGATCTGTCCCCTTACCCTGACCTGTCCTTTCTCTTTTTTTTTCTTTTTTTTAAAAATATATTTTATTGATTTTTTACAGAGAGGAAGGGAGAGAGAGAGTTAGAAACATCGATGAGAGAGAAACATCGACTAGCTGCCTCCTGCACATCTCCCACTGGGGATGTGCCCGCAACCCAGGTACATGCCCTTGACCGGAATCGAACCTGGGACCCTTCAGTCCGCAGGCCGACGCTCTATCCACTGAGCCAAACCGGTTTCGGCCTGTCCTTTCTCTTATAAGGTTCATAGAATGAGTTTCCAGCTCATCAAATTTTCACACCACAACTAAACACGATAAACACTGTTTAAAGGCAACCTGTATTACAACGTTCTCACCTGTCAACAAGTCCAAAGCTTTGCATGTTGGAGTCAAGAACCTTCGTGTTCTCAACTAAATTGATGCTCTCTTGTCCCCTTTCATCCAGTCCCTCAAGGAGAACAACTTACCGACTTCACTCGGTGACCGATGCCCATGATCAGTTTTCCTTCCTTCTTCATCTTGTTCACAAACTCCATGGGGATAATGCCACTGTCAAAGGCTTTGCTGAACATCTTGGCTGCTGCATCCAGGGCACCCCCAAACCGGT